TGGAGTTTTATGAACATCCTTTGGTTTTTTTCAATGTTCTGATTGGCCAAAGTGGTCAAGACTCTGACGGGCCTCCGCAGTGCACACAGGTAGCCTAATAGTTATTCATCATTCTTGCCAGAGAGAAGACAGGGAAGAAAACACCATTTACCTCTAAGCTGCTACACATATTAATTTGGTTTGTCATTCTATAGTTTTTCATTGAATTTGAGTGGAAATTCAATATAATTTATTTAGCTCAGTGTATTCTCTAGTCAAAAGTTAGGGAGTGGCGCTCCTCCACACTCCGGCAGCACTATACCCCTGTAGAGGATTATACTGAGGCTTTCTTCATATATCGTATGCTTTACAAAAATATGGACCGAGACAGACAGTAGCGATTATCAAATTGGATGTGTCACGTGACACCATTAATTCCTATGTGAAGACTCAATAGTGAATTGAAGCCAAATCAACTCGGTTAAGATGGCGTCTCATGGAAACATAACATGTGCAGTTTGAGCTACTCCAGGAAGAGACGTTGCAGGCTAGCTCAGCGCTGCCCCGCTCTCATTATGTACTCTACATGGCTATTTCAGCCACACCCGTTGCTGACAGGTGTATAAAATCGAGCACACAGCCATGTAATCTCCATAGACAAACATTGGCAGTAGAACGTACTGAAGCTATCAGTGACTTTCAACGTGGCACCTTCATAGGATGCCACCTTTCCAACAATTCAGTTCGTAAAATGTTTGCCCTGCTAGAGCTGCCCCGGTCAACAATAAGTGCTGTTATTGTGAAGTAGAAACGTCTAGCAGCAACAACAGCTCAGCCGTAAAGTGGTAGGTCACACAAGCTTACAGAACGGGGCTGCTGAGTGCTGAAGCGCGTAGCGCGTAAAAATCGTCTGTCCTCGGTTGCAACACTCACTACCGAGTTGCCAACTGCCTCTGGAAGCAACGTCAGCACAAGAACTGTTCGTCGGGAGCTTCATGAAATGGGTTTCCATGACCGAGCGGCCGGACACAAGCCTAAGATCACCATGCGAAATGCTAAGTGTCGGCTGGGGTGGTGTAAAGCTCGCTGCCATTGGACTCTGGAGCAGTGGAAACGCGTTCTCTGGAGTGATGAATCACGCTTCACCATCTGGGAGTCCAACAGACAAATCTGGGTTTGGCGGATGCCAGCGGAATGCTACCTGCTCGTATGCATAGTGCCAACTGGAAAGTTTGGTGGAGGAGGAATAATGGTCTGGGGATGTTTTTCATGGTTCGGGCTAGGCCCCTTAGTTCCAGTGTAGGGAAATCTTAACGCTACATCATACAATGACATTCTAGACGATTCTGTGCTTCCAACTTTGTGGCAACAGTTTGGGGAAGGCCCTTTCCTGTTTCAGCATGACAATGCCCCCGTGCACAAAGTGAGGTCCATACAGAAATGGTTTGTCGAGATTGGTGTGGAAGAACGTGACTGGCCTGCACAGATCCCTGACCTCAACCCCATCGAACACCTTTGGGAAGAATTGGAACGCCGACTGCGAGCCAGGCCTAATCGTCCAACATCAGTGCTTACATATGGGCCCTTCCCAACAATGTAAAGTAAGAGAAAATAGAGAAGTAATAGAAAAGTAATAACACGTAATAATACAAGTAATAATAAATACACAATGAGTAATGATAACTTGGCTATATACACAGAGTACCAGTACCAAGTCGATGTGCAGAGGGTACAAGGTAATTGAGTGACTAGGCAACAGGATAGACAATAAACAGTAGCAGAATCGTATGTGAAGTTAGAACAAAAAGGGTCAATGCAGATAGTCCGGGTAGCTATTTGGTTAACTTTAATGAACTATTTAGCAGTCTTATGGCCTGCGGGTAGAAGCTGTTCATGGTCCGGTTGGTTCCAGACTTGGTGCTTCGGTACCGCTTGCTGTGCGGTAGCTGAGAGAACAGTCTATGACTTGGGTGGCTGGAGTCTTTGACAATTTATAGGGCCTTCCTCTGACACTGCCTGGTATAGAGGTCTTGGATGGCAGGGAGCTTGGCCCCAGTGATGTACTGGGCTGTACGCACTACCCTCTGTAGCGCCTTGCAGTCGGCTGCCAAGCAGTTGCCATACCAGGCAGTGATGCAAGATGCTCTCAATGCTGCAGCTGTAGAACTTTTTGAGGATCATTGTCGTGCCCTCTTCACAACTGTTTTGGTGTGTGTTGACCATGATAGATCCTTAGTGATGAGGACAAAGAGGAACTTTAAGCTCTCGACCCGCCCCACTACAGCCCCGTTGATGTGAATGGGGGCGTGCTCGGCCCTCCATTTCCTGTAGTCCATGTTCAGCTCCTTTGTCTTGCTCACGTTGAGGAAGAGGTTATTGTCCTGGCACCACACTGCCAGGTCTCTGACCTTCCTCCCTATAGGCTGTCTCATCGTCGTCGGTGATCAGGTCTACCACCGTCGTGTCGTCAGTTCTTCCCTGGTTCAACGAAACTGCAACGTTTATCACCGGTAATTTGTATTTTCTGCCATTGTTTTTCTTGCTGATGATACGGTTATTGGAAGTAGATGGTGTGGGGGTTGGGGGTACAGTACCACATCTTTAGGAATAGAAACAAGCTCAAGAAGGAAGGTGCAATGACCGAATGCATGCTGATGAACAAACAAAGATGGTCACAGTGGGGAAATGGCCTGCATAAATTGAAGCAGTACGTCTGGCAGTCATCCAGAATGCTGAGTGAGTCAGAAAAAGGAAAGGTATTGTTATATGTGTACGAATAGGTTTGTGTTTCCCCTCAGTGACACTGACGGTGGCATGGCTATGGATAATAGTCAATGTGTCATTTAATGACCCATCACTACAGTGACAACAATTCATTCTTATTCATTGGTGCTGGCAACCTTGTATCTGTTGAAAATATGAACTTGAATGAATGTCATGTCAACATTTTGGAAAGTATCAATGTGCAAAATAGCCCGATGCCAGCTATTTGCCCGGGGCATTAGAACATGATATCTGAATTAGAAGAGTGTGTGTGTGTGTGTGTGTGTGTGTGTGAGAGAGAGAGAAACACAAGCCCTGTTATGCAGTAGTGGTGGCATTTTAAGATGCTTCTCCATCAATGGTTAAAAAATGAATTTGTTGAAGGAGATTCAAGATGTTACTACCTGGAGGGTCCCAGAACAAGCATACAGAGTCACAGCAGTCCTGTGTGCCAAAAATATGTCAAGGGCGTATCCCGAAGGGGCCCAGGGCCTGGTCTTTTTACAAAAACGTCTGTAGAGTATGAATGGTTTGAACTACAAACTATTAAAAGCTGAGACTCTCACAAAGCTCACAAGCTAGACAAGAGTCATTAGAAGGTAAGGTGTTCTTCAACATAGAAGATCATAGGAAATCCCAGGACATAGTGTCTATAATACTGTAATAAGCTTACATAGTTGCTGTCATAAACTCCAAACGCCAAACAGTTGCCACTGACTAGTTGGATATTCATTTCCCAGTGAGCAAACAATTTCTGTACTTACACCATTCATATACATTCATTATCAGGTTTTTGCTTTGGCGGACCTTATTTTTGTATTGACATTTGTCAATAAAACTCATGAATGCAACTGTTTAATGTGAGAACTCACCGGATGAGAGAGTCCAACGGAAGGTGTGTGTGTGTGTGTGTGTGTGTGTGTGTGTGTGTGTGTGTGTGTGTGTGTGTGTGTGTGTGTGTGTGTGTGTGTGTGTGTGTGTGTGTGTGTGTGTGTGTGTGTGTGTGCATCCTTCTTTACCTCACACACCCTGCCAGGAGCTGCAGCTGGCGATGAGCTAATAGCTAATTCTGTTACAATACCTCAGATATCAAGCTTGCCTTAAAAGCAAGAATAACATTGAACAAGATTACATAAGGGATAATCAACAAGAGGCTATGTGTTCTATGGAAAATAATGAATGACGTGGAAGATGTGTTCCACAACGTGTTAGCGGAGTGGAACTAACCTTCCACGGAGTTGCATTATTCTCCAGAGAACGCATAGAGCCCCGAGTTGACTATCCCTTTTATACCATGGCTATAATTTAACACATCCGCTAGAAATGTGTTCATCCACTGTAGTAGCTAGCAGGTTTATGAGATAGCGACAGTAGTTGCCTTGTTAACCAAACAAACAGACTTGCTAGTTTAGCTAACCAAACCATCAGTCCGAGCTTGCTATTATGAAAATCAAATTGAACAATGCCAATAATGTTTTCAATTCGACTTTTGCTTTCAAAAGCAGCTCGAACATAGAACATGTAAGAATGAACCATAGCCATTGAATTCTACCAGGCAAATATACCTAGCCTTATAGGGAAATAATGCACGCTCTAGAATGACCTTCAAGCCAATCAGAAATTAGTATTCAACAATGCCATGGTATAAGGACAAACAAAATATGAATAATACAGCTTTCTAAACAACACCCAATTGACAATTAGTTTGAGGTGATTGTCTTCCAATAGTCATACTAACTCTGCCTGTATGGTACATACATGATTAGGACCTAGCCTTAACACAAACCCCTCCATCTTCAGTGACATTGACGGACAGACGTAAAGCAAAGTAGAATTAAGCAGTCATGACAGCTGATATGGATATTCCTGGCTAACACAGAGTACTATACAAGCTAACCATGCTGGCCTAGCTAACCTACATTTTGGCATACCTGTCATACCTGTCATATCTGTCAAATCAGTTACTATGACTGTTATGACACCTGTCATGTCATGCCTATTACAGCAGTGACATGTTTGTGTCATTTTTAGATGACCTGCTGGCACAATTGGACTCCCATATGACATAAAGCAGAGATTTATTGAATTGGGTGAATTTGATTTAATTATATTGTACTTGGAATAAACCTAGGGCTGCAAAATTCCGGTAACATTCCCCAAATCATCTGGGATTCTTAGAAAACCTGGGAATTTGGGGAAAATTCTCAGAATTTGTTAAACCCTAAAAGAACCGGAATGGCTCCCCTTGTGTGTTGCAGTCGCCCAGAGTGAGGCCCAGGCAGGAGTCAGCTGCAGCGGAGTGGGGCACCATGATGGAGGGGGGCATGCAGCTGCTGAACCGCGACGGCCACAGCATCTCGCACAACTCCAAGCGCCACTACCACGACTCGTTCGTGTCCATGAACAGGATGCGCCAGCGCAACCTGCTCTGCGACATCGTGCTGCACGTCTCCAACAAGGAGATTAAGGCGCACAAGGTGGTGCTGGCCTCCTGCAGTCCCTACTTCCACGCCATGTTTACAAGTAAGCATCCCTCCTCTGAGTCCGCACCCCCTGCTACTGAGACTGCTCTTCTGTTCCTCCACGCCCTCACAAGTGTTCACTACTAGTGTTAGTCACCCACTTTGAGCCACCGTCTCCCCCTCTTGACCCTTTTTCTCATCCACACCTCCTTATATTATTTAAGATTTATATGTTGAAACACATTGGGTTTGTTTAAATCATTAGAAGAACCATGAACAAAGTGGTGTGACGTGTTTGTGGTGATTCTTGATTGTTGCTTGAATGCTCAGACATTGAACTGTGGTACATTTCGCTCAATGTGTGTGTGTGTGTGTGTGTGTGTGTGTCTGTGTGTGTCAGTGGCACCTCAACTTGTGAGCAAAACCTCATTTGTTTGCTTCCTTCCTTCCTCACCAGTGACCACTTCCTTCCTCCTCCCTGTTGTCTGTGTGCGTTCTTTCCTGTTGGGGTCATAGGTCACCAGGTGAGGTGTGTCCCAGTTTTCCTCCTCCCTCCTCCAGCTCAGACTAGAGCCTTGTGAGGGTATGTCCCTGGAGAGAGGCTTTAAGACTCACCACTAGACTTCTTTTCAACTGACCATTCTCTATTAAGTCTGCTGATATAGCCAACAATCTAATCAATATAACCAAAACGCTGGTGTGCGTATGTGCTGGCTCTTGACCTGCTAAAATATGCTTCTTCACTGTGTTTGGCTTAACGCAAGCGCCTCATAGACCCAGGAATCGGAATTACACAAAGATTGTCTGACAGTCAAAACAATTAATCACACAGACACAGATACAGACAGCTACAAATGCCAGAAAATGTCATAGTGCTATGAAGTGACTGTCCTATGAGAATTTGTGTATAATGGGAGGTATGTGCTTCATGTCTATGGCAATAGAGCAGGGATCATCAACTAGATTAAGCCACGGGTCGATTTCTTTCTTGAGAGGATGGTCAGGGGGCCGGAACTTAATTACTCATTTTTAGAATGAAAATTGACCGCAAGAAGCCCAAATGGATATAACATTTGACTAAAACGTTATAATTTCAAACCTTGCTTACATTTGCATGCGATCACATATCTCTCTATTATGCGTGGGAATACTTTGGAACAGATTTCCAAAATTAAAATCACTTGGAGCTGAGTTGCTGGTGTTTTTAGTCTTTTATGCCCCCCCCCTCCCCCTAGGCCCGTGCGTGGGCTGCCAGTTGGGGAACCCTGCAATAGAGTATATACAACATTGTACATACACACACACACACACACACACACACACACACACAAAGTATTTGATCCCCTGCTGATTTTGTAAGTTTGCCCACTGACAAAGAAATGACCAGTCTATAATTTTAATGGTAGGTTTATTTGAACAGTGAGAGACAGAATAACAACAACAAAAATCCAGAAAAACGCATGTCAAAAATGTTATAAATTGATTTGCATTTTAATGAGGGAAATAAGTATTTGACCCCCTCTCAATCAGAAAGATTTCTGGCTCGCAGGTGTCTTTTATACAGGTAACGAGCTGAGATTAGGAGCACACCCTTAAAGGGAGTGCTCCTAATCTCAGTTTGTTACCTGTATAAAAGACACCTGTCCACAGAAGCAATCAATCAATCAGATTCCAAACTCTCCACCATGGCCAAGACCAAAGAGCTCTCCGAGGATGTCAGGGACAAGATTGTAGACCTACACAAGGCTGGAATGGGCTACAAGACCATCGCCAAGCAGCTTGGTGAGAAGGTGACAACAGTTGGTGCGATTATTCGCAAATGGAAGAAACACAAAATAACTGTCAATCTCCCTCGGCCTGGGGCTCCATGCAAGATCTCACCTCGTGGAGTTGCAATGATCATGAGAACGGTGAGGAATCAGCCCAGAACTACACGGGAGGATCTTGTCAATGACCTCAAGGCCGCTGGGACCATAGTCACCAAGAAAACAATTGGTAACACACTACGCCGTGAAGGACTGAAATCCTGCAGCGCCCGCAAGGTCCCCCTGCTCAATAAAGCACATACACAGGCCCATCTGAAGTTTGCCAATGAACATCTGAATGATTCAGAGGAGAACTGGATGAAAGTGTTGTGGTCCGATGTTGTTTGGAGGAGGAGGAATGCTGCCTATGACCCCAAGAACACCATCCCCACCGTCAAACATGGAGGTGGAAACATTATGCTTTGGGGGTGTTTTTCTGCTATGGGGACAGGACAACTTCACCGCATCAAAGGGACGATGGATGGGGCCATGTACTGTCAAATCTTGGGTGAGGACCTCCTTCCCTCAGCCAGGGCATTGAATATGAGTCGTGGATGGGTATTCCAGCATGACAATGACCCAAAACACACGGCCAAGGCAACAAAGGAGTGGCTCAAGAAGAAGCACATTAAGGTCCTGGAGTGGCCTAGCCAGTCTCCAGACCTTAATCCCATAGAAAATCTGTGGAGGGAGCTGAAGGTTTGAGTTGCCAAACGTCAGGCTCAAAACCGTAATGACTTGGAGAAGATCTGCAAAGAGGAGTGGGACAAAATCCCTCCTGAGATGTGTGCAAACCTGGTGGCCAACTACAAGAAACGTCTGACCTCTGTGATTGCCAACAAGGGTTTTGCCACCAAGTACTAAGTCATGTTTTGCAGAGGGGTCAAATACTTATTTCCCTCATTAAAATGCAAATCAATTTATAACATTTTTGACATGCGTTTTTCTGGATTTTTTTGTTGTTATTCTGTCTCTCACTGTTCAAATAATCCTACCATTAAAATTATAGACTGATTATGTCTTTGTCAGTGGGCAAACGTACAAAATCAGCAGGGGTTCAAATACTTTTTTCCCTCACTGTATATAAATGTAATATTTCAGTTTTTAATTTTTTATAAATGTGCTAACATTTCTAAAAACCTGTTTTTGCTTTGTCATTATGGGGTATTGTGTGTAGACAATTTAATCCATTTTAGAATATGGCTGCAACGTAACAAAATGTGGAAAAAGTCAAGGGGTCTGAATACTTTCAGAATGCACCGTACACTGCAGATAGGAAAACTGGAAAACTCTATTGTCTGTCTGTGGTCATGCAGATGAGATGTCGGAGAGTCGCCAGACCCACGTGACCCTGCATGACATTGACCCCCTTGCGTTGGAACAGCTGGTTCAGTATGCCTACACTGCAGAAATCGTGGTGGGGGAGGGCAACGTGCAGGTAAGAAGAAAAGATTACTGCACTTCTCCTTGTCTGCGTCTCAAATCGCAACCTATTCCCTACATAGTGCACTACATTGGGGCTGTGGTCAAAATTAGTCAGTATGTAGGGACTAGGGTGCAATTTGGGATGAGCTCCTAATGTACCATCATTTTTCTAAATGGTAGTCTCAAACAATCTCTTGAAGCTTGTTAACTTCTCTGACCACTAGCGAAGTAATAACGTGAAGTTTGTGGAGAGCACGAAATCTGAAAGGTTTTGAGAAGTATTTAACTCTTGTTTTAATAGCTTTGTATACTCACCTCTCTGGAGCTAAAACATTTAGTGACCTAATGTAAAACCGTATTCCACGAAAACATACTGATACTGATGATTACATTACTTCGCCAAAGTATTTCTTACCTCTGTTCCTAATCTCTTATTTATTGTCACATCACATCCCAGTTGTCACATCCTTTAGCATCACACCACAAACCATTTACATCCTACCCCATACCATTCTATACTAATCCTCATATCCCATCCCATATAATTCTGCCACATTCCATATTTTCACATTTAATATCACTCCACCCATGGGCAACTGACTTTGTCTGAAAGTGGGGGTAAATTTTTTTTTATACATAGAATTAAAAAAATCCAATACATTTGTTTTGAATGTTTAAAACTGTTTCCTGCAATTCTACACTGTTTCTTCACAGGGGAAATCCATATTTATGAACAGAACACAACTATTTTTTGAGGGGGTTTTACCACATTAAAGTATATTGAAAATGTGTTTAAATGACTAGATTGCTAATCTACTCCCAACCCTGAAAATCCCACCCCCAATAATGAATTGACAGGTCTGAAACCCTACCAACGCTGTGACTCTCACAAATATCCTGCTCCTCCCCTGACAATCCCACCCACAGTGATAGATTGACAGGTCAAACTGTTAAGAATGTGGCAAGGGTAATGCATGACAATGAGGAAATGAAATTGAAATGGGAGGAATAATATAGTTTTACCCAATAAGAATTAGAATTTTGTACTTGGTAGGTTAAGAAAAAGCATTGTTAAGTTGAACATTACGTTTTCATGTTATTTTTGTCACAAATAATGTGATCACAATAATGTAATACAATTACAAATGTGCATTTAAATTTGTCTTTTAACAATTTTCTTTCTCAATATGACAGTGTTATCTGGTAGGGCATTGAACAAGAACGGTCAACTTGAAAATGCAAACTGGAGTTTTGCCTTTAAATTTGGTCATAGATTATGTTCACGTAAAAATAATATTGCAAATGTATTTATCATGATCACATTTGCATTTTTAGCCTTTTTTTTTGGGCAAGTATTCAGACCCCTTGACCTCTTCCACATTTTGTTACGTTACAGCCTTATTCAAAAATGTATTAAATAAAAAATGTTCCTCATCAATCTACACACAATACCCCATAATGACAAAGCGAAAACAGGTTTTTTATAAATGTTTGCCAATTTATTAAAAATAAAAAACAGAAATACCTTATTTACATAAGTATTCAGACCCTTTTCTATGAGACTCGAAATTGAGGTGCATCCTGTTTCCATTGGTCATCCTTGAGATGTTTCTACAACTTCATTGGAGTCCCCCTGTAGTAAATTCAATTGATTGGACATGATTTGGAAAGGCACACACCTGTCTATATAAGGTCCAACAGTTGACAGTGCATGTCAGAGTAAAAACCAAGCCATGAGGTCAAAGGAATTGTCCGTAGAGCTCCGAAACAGGATTGTGTCGAGGCACAGATCTGGGGAAGGGTACCAAAACATTTCTGGAGCCTTGAAGGTCCCCAAGAACACAGTGGCATTCTTAAATGGAAGAAGTTTGGAACCACCAAGACTCTTTCTAGAGCTAACCGCCCTGCCAAACTGAGCAATCGGGGGAGAAAGGCCTTGGTCAGGGAGGTGATGAAGATCCCGATGGTCTCAGACCATGAGAAACAAGATGGTCTGATGTCTGGTCTGATGAAACCAAGATTTAACTCTTTGGCCTGAATGCCTAACGTCACGTCTGGAAGACTCTCAGACCATGAGAAACAAGATGGTCTGATGTCTGGTCTGATGAAACCAAGATTTAACTCTTTGGCCTGAATGCCTAACGTCACGTCTGGAGGAAACCTGGCACCATCCCCATGGTGGTGGCAGCATCATTCTGTGGGGAGGTTTTTCAGCGGCAGGGACTGGGAGACTAGTCAGGATCAAGGGAAAGATGAACGGAGCAAAGTACAGAGAGATCCTTGATGAAAACCTGCTCCAGAGTGCTCAGGACCTCAGACTGGGGCGAAGGTTCACCTTCCAACAGGACAACGACCCTAAGCACACAGCCAAGACAATGAATTTCTGTCACCAATTGGATTGAAACCTAGCTACTGTCACCATGAAAATGTTTTAAACTTGTCTCAGTAGCATACATATTTGAGGCAACAAGGGTAGAAATTGCTTATTTGGTCGATATTACTAACCAAGCAAAGCAGAGCTGTTTTATTTAAGTACAAATATCCTGTGCTTTTTCAATTTGCGCATACAGACACAGCTTGGCTACATTGTAACCACGGAGCGGTCATGGTGCATTCTCATATGGGTCTCAGACAGGCTGTTTACTTTTGTAACTGAATGAAAACATTTTAACAATGTGATTTAATCGATTGATGTTGGGAAAATAGATGGCAAAAATGCAGAAGGGTGTTAAATGCCTGTAAACAGCTTGGGGAGAAAAGGTATTTCACAGATTTAATCATGTAATATTAGGCCTACTGATTATTTATCAGTATCTACTTGTGAGCTACTCATTGACAGCCCGCGAGCTACCGGACGTGCAGTTTTCTGCAAAGGTGGTAAGCTGATGGAAGGCTACTCAGAGTCAGTGGGAGAATCTCAATTGCAAACTCTCCTCCCCTCTTTCTCAAAACCCATTGGAGGAGAAGATTAGAGGTCCCGCCCATCTGATCTTCTCCTCCAATGGATTTTGTGAAGGAGGCGAGGAGAGCGGACTCCAGCAATTGAGGTTGTCCCAGAGGCTGTGATACAGCGAAGCCTAATCAGACATGCTCGCGCTCATCATGGTTCTTACAGGCAAAGTGAAATGACAAGCTTTGCTTGTGGTGCACGCTGCTCAAATGATATGTATCAACACCCTGAGTGCATCGGATATGAAACAATGATACAAATGTAGAAGCACAACAGACTAGATAAACCATTTTCTATTTGCAGGGGCCTTTTCATTTTAAACACCAGTGGTGCAACTAGTCCTGTCTAACTGCACTGAACCAAAACAGTGGCGCAAGGAGTGAAGCAAAACTTTACAGTGGGCAAAACCCTTCATCTTGAGGCAACGGTGGGAGGGGGGGGTTGCAAAATGCAATAATATATCAAATGGACATGTCTATTTTAATACAGACTAGCTCAAAACATTACTAATCATTGAAAATGACAAATTACCAAATGGATCATGATACTTTTCTGGTAAGAAAGTGGGGGTGCAAAATCATACCTTTGCACCCCTATTTTGAAAGTGGGAATGCAGCTGCTACATTTGCCCCATTGCTCAGGCGCTTATGGCTCCACCCGATCTTCATCTTTTTCTTCTAGACCTTGCTCCCAGCGGCCAGCCTTCTGCAGCTCAACGGGGTGAGGGACGCCTGCTGTAAGTTCCTCCTCAGCCAGCTGGACCCCTCTAACTGCCTGGGCATCCGCGGCTTTGCAGACACCCACTCCTGCAGCGACCTACTCAAGTCTGCGCACAAGTACGTCCTGCAGCACTTTGTGGAGGTGTCCAAGACAGAGGAGTTCATGCTGCTGCCGCTGAAGCAGGTAGGGGGCCAGACAGAATACTGAACGAGCATGTCATATGCGTTTCTTTACGGAATTACTTGATGTGACATCGGCGACAGCGATGGGATCTTATTTTCGTAATGTTTTGCATTGGAGTGGTCATCAGTAGCTCAATTGGTAGAGCATGGCGCTTGTAACGCCAGGGTAGTGGGTTCGATCCCCGGGACCACCCATATGTAAAAATGTATGCACACATGACTGTAAGTCGCTTTGGATAAAAGCGTCTGCTAAATGGCATATTATTATTATATTATTATTGTTGAAAGTTATTGTGGCACTTTGGTTTATGACTTGTGCGCTGATGTTGGGGACCTGCAAGCTCTAGACACACTAGGAATATAAACCTTTTCACCTCTTAAATAATCTGGGTGATCTACAGTGCTATCCACAGTTGTTGGTAAAGACAAACAAGATGCTCAGCTGCACTGAGATAGATTAGCTTAGCATTGGTCTCATCCCTCTCTGACTGTCCCTCTCTCTCTTTCCCCCCTTTTCCTGCAAAAAGAGGAGGACATCTAGTTATGTTCTAACCTTTCCTCAACCCCCTCAAGGTCATTCATGGAGCAAGCAGCAAAGACAAGAGTGTGTAGTTGCCTTTTCAACACTCATTTGACGAAGACATCTCTCCATCCTCGGCTCCTTGTCAATCAGTGTCTCTTGTAGTTTTACTCACCATGCTCTCCCTGACCTTTCTGTCTTGCCATCTCAGTATAGCAGTCACTTGTTCATCATCTGGACTTGTCCAATGACAACCTAGTTGAGGGTCATGACCTGGAAGTGGTAATTAGGCAGAGCACTGCCACAGATGGGTCATGTTCCAGGCCGACTACATTGCAGATGTTGCATTGCATCGACCAATGGTTGCATTGCATCGACCAATGGTTGCTTGCCACATCATCGACTTCGCAATCGGGAATCAGATTTCTAGTGGGCAATTCCACGGTAGGATACGGCGAAAATATTTTTGGTATCCGATTGTTCTGGCAATTCTCACATAGAAACGTTATTGGGAGGAAGGATGTTTGACATGTTTTTTACATTTCTAGAAAATCATGATGAAAGTGGCCGTTGTAGGCCCTTTTTAGACCTAGAAATGCCTCCTGTAAGACCCTATTACATTTGAGTCATTTAGCAGACACTCTTATCCAGAGCGATTTACAGGAGCAATTAAGGGTTAAGTGCCTTGCTCAAGCACAACAGACAACATCTTGGTGTCATTATGCTCTGTATATTGTGCTCAAACATATGTCGAGATTCTGTCAAAATACAATTACATTTATTCAACGTAAAATATATCAATATCTCAGAAGGACCCTTTTTGATTTTGTACATTTTAAAACATATTGTATGTTACAATATACTGTACAAGTACATACAATTTCCAGAGTGGGCTCTCTGCTAATTCTGAAGTTATTATCAATTTTATGAGCACCACCAACACAGGGAATGGGAAAATTGATTAAAAGGGATCTCCCTCTGCTGGTGATTGGTTGAATGTGCAATCCTAAAGGAGGGTTGTGATTGGTTAATGACCTATAATGTCAATTTCTATGTATATATAAAATGGCTCATAGCTTCAAAATTTGACTTATTTGAAGAGTATATTGTTCAAAACAATATGTCTAAAAATATGCAAAATCAAAAAAGGTACTTTTGAGATAGTTATATAAGTATTTGTAATGTTGAATAAGTTAATGTGATTTTTTTTTTTCAGAATCAAGACATACTCCATATTTTAGAGCACAATATATAGTATAAAGACACCAAGATGTTGTCTGTATCATGTACGATTCCCGGGTCATAGCGTCTTACAGGAGGCATGTATAGGTCTAAAAAATGATCCGAAAATGAACACTTCCATCATGAAGTTCAAAAAAATTGTTTGTGATACAAATGTAAAAAGCATGTCAAACATCCTTCCTCCCAATTAAGTTTAAATGTGAGAATTGCCAGAACAATGTAAGATACACAACATTTTTCAGGCTATCCTGGCATGGAATCGCCCTATATCATAATGGTTAGCTGATACATGAAACACCTATCAAGGCGATGTGAGATCTGGCATGCATCTGCAAGGTAGTCACCCTGGAACATGGCCATGGTGTATGTGTTGCCAGGAGACTGACAAATGTATAGGAATCAGTGTCCATGAAAGGTGAATGGGACCTTTAGCTACCTAGCATGTGGACATATGTGAATGCGCATTTAATCCTTTGGTCAGAGTTGAGGGGTTGGAGTCAATAGTCTCTTTTAGGGTATGAGTTGGGGTTAGCAGCGTGCCTTAGGTGTGTTGGTGAACATAGGTTTTGAGAGACAGTATCAGAGAGGACAGGTTAAGCTATGTGACAGCTGTCACAGCACCAGCTGTTTTCCTCCTGACCAAAACATTACATTAACTATTTAATAGCTCTTTAATTCTCTTCCATTTTAATGTTACTCGCCAAATTTGCCATTACCTGTCTTTCATGAGTGTGCACCAAGAAGAGGCAACAACCCCTCACAGCTTGTGCTTGGGAAATAAATTATCACCTCAACTTTTTGATAGGGTAACTACGAGAGCGATGACATCACTTCCCCTTTATCTCCTCACCTCAAACAAACCTATCCCTATATGAATAGGGTGGGTCCCCTCCATGAGTGTCAACACCATTATGAAATGTATTGGGCACTATCCATTAGCCAAGAGTAAAATGAGTAGGCGAAGTGACATCCGAAACAGAGCTGCAGGGCAGCCAGCTGTGACTGCTCTCTCTTTTGCTTTCTCTTTGTATTCCTCTCTCTCTCTCTCTCTCTGTGTCTCTGTCTCTCTCTCTGTGTCTCTGTCTCCTCTCTCTCTCTCTCTCTCTCTCTCTCTCTGTGTGTCTCTCTCTCTCTCTCTCTGTCTCTCTCTGTGTCTCTGTGTCTCTCTCTCTCTCTGTGTCTCTCTCTCTGTGTGTCTCTGTGTCTCTCTCTCTCTCTCTCTCTCTCTGTGTCTCTCTCTCTCTCTCTCTCTGTGTCTCTCTCTCTCTTCTGTGTCTCTCTCTCTCTGTGTTCCCTCTCTCTCTCTCTATCTCTCTCTCTCCTCTCTCCTCTCTCTCTCTCTCTGGTCTCTCTCTCTCTCTCTCTCTGTGTCTCTCTCTGTCTCTCTCTCTCTCTCTCTCTCTCTCTCTCTCTGTGTCTCTCTCTCTCTCTCTGTGTCTCTCTCTGTCCTCTCTGTCTCTTACCTGCTCTAAGCGTTTTTGAGCTCACCGAGTCCTTTTAGACACGAGGGACACTGCCAACTGGAGTTTTGACTGGACTTCATGTCCATCTACTACACGGTGTTATCGCTGACGTACACAGACATTTGGTTTATACATGTTTTTAAATATACATGATATATACATTTCGTGTCTGTTCTTGCTAGCTCTCTCAAACACACTTGTACTGGTACACTTTACATGTCAGACATAGACACAATGTCTGTCTGGCTGTCTATACCTTTTATGCCTCTCTGTGTCTGTAGATATTGCAGGAGCCTATGTGTTGTGTTGAGGGTGCTAGAGGAGAGGAGGCTGTTCATGCTGTACTGTGTGGCTCTCTAGTTCATGTGGATTAGCTGATGCTGTTCCTCTGAGGCTGCTGCTATTCTATTGATCTCAGCTGGCAACTCCTGCCCTGCCCAGCCCCACTCTGGGAGCTGTGTCAGCCTCTCTGCAGTGCACACACACACCGCGCGCCCTGGAAGAGGCACGCACTCGCACACACACACACACACACTAGTGTACACCCACGAACGACATAGTCACGCTCTAATATAGCAGGACACACCCTTGCCCATTTAGCTTCAGTTATATGGGTACAGAGCAGATATGAATACATACACCACCACATTGTCTTTGTTGTGCTGATGTGAATATGATTCTAAACCACACTTTCACCTCAGCTCATTATTTCATTTTTTGGGACATTTCAGTCAAGCTGACCTTTTTCAAGATGTTCCAAAATAAACATGCCAAGATAAATGGGAATTAATTCATGTTTTAATTTCTTGTCGTGCCAACCTTTGTGACGCATCCCACATGGCATGAGCGTGTCTGTGGGAGTAGCGTCTATCATTGACATAAGAGAATGGTTAACAGATGTCAAGAGACTGTTGTGTTTGTAACTCTTGTATGACAATACCCCCTTTTTCTCTACTTCTCTCTATACCTACCCCCTCTCTCTCCCCAACACCTCATCTCTCACCTCCCCTTCTTTCTCTCTCTCTCCACCCTCTCCTTTTCTCTCTCTTCCACCCCCCCCCCCCCCCCCCTTCCTTCTCTCCCCTGTGTGAAGGTATTGGACCTGATCTCCAGTGACAACCTGAACGTGCCGTCGGAAGAGGAGGTATACCGGGCCGTGCTGAACTGGGTCAAACACGACATTGACGGGCGCAGGCAGCACGTTCCCTGGGTAAGATTAGAAATGCTACTGTGTAGCTCAGTTGGTATAGCATGGCACTTACAACGTCAGGATTGTGGGTTTCATTCCCGCTGAGGCCACCTATGCGAAAATGTATGCCTGTCACTTTGGATAAGTGTCTGCCCCTCTCACCTCTCATTCCCCTCTCTAGCTGATGAAGTGCGTACGCCTGCCCCTGCTGCGGAGGGATTTCCTCATGAGCAACGTGGACACGGAGCAGTTGGTGCGTCACCACTCTGAGTGCAAGGACCTGCTCATCGAAGCCCTCAAGTACCACCTGATGCCCGAACAGAGGGGCGTGCTGAGCAACAGCCGCACCCGGCCTCGCCGCTGCGAGGGCGCCAGCCCCGTGCTCTTCGCCGTTGGTCAGTGTGCCCCAGAGGTTACCCACCAGGGTACATACGCACGTACACACACATTCACACATGCGCGTACACATACCTATACAAAGTACTTTCTACCTATAGAGTTCCATTGTTTAAACAGGGATCCTGAATTTGGCCATTGGTTAAAGGCTAACCGGTTCACAGATACTGGGCGACATTCAAAACACATAACATTTGAAATAGATGGGATTTGGCAATTATCCAAAATGAGTTTGGAATATTACAGCTCGCGACTACCATGTGTAGAATATTTGTGCGTATTAGAACTGAAATAGGACCATCCTCAACACTGGTTGTGCATGTTGTTAGCTATGATGATGTTGATTATGTGGTTGTTGTCTGTATGTGTTGTGCCCAGGTGGGGGCAGTCTGTTTGCCATCCACGGCGACTGCGAGGCCTACGACACGCGGACAGACCGCTGGCACATGGTGGCCTCTATGTCCACTCGGCGGGCACGGGTGGGCGTGGCGGCCATCGGAAACAAGTTGTACGCAGTGGGAGGGTAAGAGATGTCTGACCAACCTTTGACCCCTAGATAGTCTGGAGTCGGGTAGTATCGAAGCCATAACCAATGTCGTGCTAGCTAGCTAGCTAACTGAAATAGGACCGTTTAACACTGGTATGCTAGTGGTAGTTGTGCTAGTTAGCTAGCTAGCTAGTTCGGTTTAGGTTAAAAGTGAGACTAGGATTAGGGGAGATTGTCACGATCGTCAGGGAGAGACCAAGGCGCAGCGTTGAATGCGAACATTATATATTTATTTAGAATGATCACACGATCAAAACAACAACGATAACGTGACGTCTACAGTATAACACAAACCAAATCAGAACAAGAAACCACAAACACAAAGTGAAAGACAGACAGTTAAATATGGCTCCCAATCAGAGACAACCAGCAGACACTCGTTGCCTCTGATTGGGAGTCACTCAGGCCAACATAGAAATACAAACATAGAATACACACCCTGGCTCAACATAAGTGTCCCCAGAGCCAGGGCGTGACAGTCCCCCCCCCTAAAGGCGCGGACTCCGACCGCGCCAACTAAATACCACAGGGGAGGGACCGGGTGGGCACTCCGCCTTGGCGGCGGATCCGGCTCCGGGCCTGATCCCCACTCCCTCTCCAACCCCCCAAAGTACCCCTGGTCCGGTCTGGCCCCGCTGGCCGGAGCTGGACTGCACACTGATGGAACGGATTGCTCTAGCTCCGGCGTAACGCATCTGACCGGTGCCGGACCAGGCACCAGTGGAACAGGCACGGGCCGTGCCGGACCGACGACGCACACCACTGGCTTGGTGTGGGGAACAGGCACGGGCCGTGCTGGACTGACGACGCACACCACTGGCTTGGTGTGGGGAGCAGGAGCGGGCCGGACAGGGCTGACGAAACGCACCACAGACTTGGTGCGGGGAGCAGGAATGGGCCGGACTGGGCTGGCGACGCGCACCACAGACTTGGTGCGGAGAGCAGGAACGGGCCGGACAGGGCTGACGAAACGCACCACAGACTTGGTGCGGGGAGCAGGAATGGGCCGAGCCGGGCTGACGAAACGCACCACAGACTTGGTGCGGGGAGCAGGAATGGGCCGGACTGGGCTGACGATGCGCACCACAGACTTGGTGCGGAGAGCAGGAACGGGCCGGACAGGGATGACGAAACGCACCACAGACTTGGTGCGGGGAGCAGGAACAGACCGGACCGTACTGGGGACACACACCACTGGCCCTACACCGGGATCTGGAACGGGCCGGACCGGACTGGTAACACACCCCAGTACCTCTCGCCGTGCCTCTCCACCTTCCATCCCCTCTTCGACCAGTGGCCCCCGTAACCTGGCGGCCTCCTCTGCCAACCCGCTGGACCGCTCTATCGCGGCCTCCTGCTGCCCCGACGTCGTGAGCCCCCCCCTAAAAATGTTCTGGGGGTCTCTCCTCCCCGTGGGCCAGGCCTCTATCGTTCTCGCCCAACTCTCGCTCCTCTGTCTCCAACTCCAGCCATTCTGCTCTTCATTAGGCTTGACCCAGTCGAAACTCTTCCTCCACTGTTCCCAAGTCCATCCACTCTGCTCTTTACAAGGCTGGACCCAGTCGAGGTTGCCACGGAGATCTGCAAGCGATTCCCCAGGCAATGGCTCCTGGACACGCTGCTTGGTCCAGTTTTGGTGGTTTCTTCTGTCACGATCGTCAGGGAGAGACCAAGGCGCAGCGTTGAATGCGAACATTATATATTTATTTAGAATGATCACACGATCAAAACAACAACGATAACGTGACGTCTACAGTATAACACAAACCAAATCAGAACAAGAAACCACAAACACAAAGTGAAAGACAGACAGTTAAATATGGCTCCCAATCAGAGACAACCAGCAGACACTCGTTGCCTCTGATTGGGAGTCACTCAGGCCAACATAGAAATACAAACATAGAATACACACCCTGGCTCAACATAACAGTGTCCCCAGAGCCAGGGCGTGACAGAGATAGCTTGTTGTAATCCTATTTCTTATTTAACCAAACACATTGGATTATATTCAAACATGAGCGTTGCCCTTAAAGTGTAATTATTCAAACTCTGACATTTGATGCCAAAGCACGTCCCCTCTATCTGAGAGAGGGAAACAAAACAGATACCTCTGCTTTTGTACATCCAGTGAAAGGTAGAACAAAGTAGTATCTGATGCACTACTAGTAGTATCTGTAGTATCTGATGCACTACTAGTAGTATCTGTAGTATCTGATGCACTACTAGTAGTATCTGTAGTATCTGATGCACTACTATCACTGTCTGGAATGTCAGAGTCTCATCCAGGTGCTACTAATGGAAATATGCTTTGACAAATATGCCCTGTCAAATAAATAAACAGATGATACATTATTTCAAATCCATTTTATTTCAAGAAAGTTTATTGTATTTTAAACTGTAAACAAAATACCGTTGTGAAGAATCGCTTAACCTTTGAGATGAGATAAAAGAAAGAAACCTGAAGAGGTACCAGACACTAGTGGCAGAGCCCATCCTCCTATGATTGGCCTAGGATGCGTCCCAAATGGCACCTTATTCACTACATAGTGCACTATCTTTGACCCGAGCCTAGGCCAACCATAGGAGGATGGGCTCTGCCACTAGTGTCTGGTACACAACCCCTAAGCCCACTCACTGGCCTCTCTCTGACATACTCTGTCTCTCCCTCAGGTATGACGGTACCTCCGATCTAGCCACCGTGGAGTCCTACGACCCGGTCACCAACTCCTGGCAACCTGAGGTGTCCATGGGGACGCGGCGGAGCTGTCTGGGTGTGGCGGTGTTGCACGGCCTCCTGTACGCGGCCGGCGGTTACGACGGAGCTTCCTGCCTCAACAGGTACACTTCTGTCGCTGCTCACTAGGCCTGTGTGGTGTAGAGGTTAGTGCTGCTGACCCATATGCCAGAGTCGGGATTGGGTTCAAATCTAGCCCACTGCCGTTTGACTTGAACTTCTCCTATCTACCCACTCTGAGGACATGGACTCTTCCATAATAACTTAGGGATACCCTTATAAGTGTTAGAATGTTAACATGTGCACCTCCATAATGTGTTACAAATATGAATGTAGATCTAGCCCACTGTTTAAAGGGAGACTTTCTTGAATGTCAGTGAATAAATCCGACACTGGTTATACTGAGATGAGATTGTTGTACTCCATCCATGTATGTAATGAGTGCCCCCTCCACCCCAACAGTACAGAGCGGTACGACCCTCTAACCAGTACCTGGAGCTCCATCGCTGCCATGAGCACCCGGAGGAGATATGTCCGTGTGGCCACTCTGGGTGAGCATGTGATGTCCACCTTGGTGTGATTATGTCATCTATTGAGCATGGATATAATGTAGGCTAGAGTGATTTTCCTATTGGGCTCCTAGTTAATATGGGCCTCATCAAACATTTGGGAGCTGTAATCTAGCATTTGGAGCTTGTCGTCACATGGCTCTCTGTCTCTTTTGATCTTTTTCTTCTGCTCTCTCTCCACCATCTCTTTGTCACTCTACCATCTCTCTCTCTCCCTCTCTCTCTTTTCAATTCAATTTCAATTTAAGGGCTTTATTGGCATGGGAAACATATGTTTACATTGCCAAAGCAAGTGAACTAGATAATAAACAAAAGTGAAATAAACAAGACAAAAACATGTACAGTAAACAAAACTCACAAAAGTTCCAAAAGAATAAAGACATTTCAAATGTCATATTATGTGTTGTAACTATGTGCAAATAGTTAAAGCTTTGTACTCCTCCCTCTCTCTGTCGCTCTACCATCTCTCTCTGTCGCTCTACCATCTCTCTCTGTCGCTCTACCATCTCTCTCTGTCGCTCTACCATCTCTCTCTGTCGCTCTACCATCTCTCTCTGTCGCTCTACCATCTCACTCTGTCACTCTACCATCTCTCTCTCTCTCTCTACCATCTCACTCTGTCACTCTACCATCTCTTCTCTCTCTCTCTACCATCTCTCTCTGTCGCTCTACCATCTCTCTCTGTCACTCTACCATCTCTCTCTCTCTCTCTACCATCTCACTCTGTCACTCTACCATCTCTTCTCTCTCTCTCTACCATCTCACTCTGTCTCTCTACCATCTCTCTCTGTCGCTCTACCATCTCTCTCTGTCACTCTACCATCTCTCTCTCTCTCTCTACCATCTCACTCTGTCACTCTACCATCTCTTCTCTCTCTCTCTCTCTACCATCTCACTCTGTCTCTCTACCATCTCTCTCTGTCTCTCTACCATCTCTCTCTCTCTCTCTACCATCTCTCTCTGTCACTCTACCATCTCTTCTCTCTCTCTCTACCATCTCACTCTGTCTCTCTACCATCTCTCTCTGTCTCTCTACCATCTCTCTCTCTCTCTCTACCATCTCTCTCTGTCGCTCTACCATCTCTTCTCTCATACTATCTCTTCTCTCTCCCTCTCTAGATGGCAGTCTGTATGCGGTAGGAGGGTATGACAGCTCCTCACACCTAGCTACAGTGGAGAAATATGAACCACAGGTAAAAAAAACTCAACCAACAAAGAGATCTCTATCAATATGAACATAAAGACATAGGGCCAGTTTCCTGGACCCAGATTAAGCCTATAGAAGAATCTCAACTGAGCATGATTTTCAGTAGCCTGGTAGAACCAACTTGATCGCTGTGTTCACCATCCTATTAAATACAATGGTGAACGTAGCGATTAGGCTGGTCCCACCAGGTTATATTTTTTGTCCATTAGTATGCTTAATCTAGTTAAAACCGGCCCATAAAGCTGAACTTCTGCCCAGATCAAAAAGTAGAACCAACACTGATAAATCCCTCAACTGACCATGTGACTCCGAACAACCCTCTATGATTGGTCGGAACAGAGCAACGCGTGGACGGCCATCGCCAACATGCTGAGCCGGCGCAGCAGTGCCGGGGTGGCTGTGCTGGAGGGCATGCTCTATGTTGCTGGGGGCAACGATGGCACCAGCTGCCTGAACTCGGTGGAGCGGTTCAACCCCAAGACCAACGCCTGGGAGGGCGTGGCGCCCATGAACATCCGCAGGTGGGCATCGCCAGCTGCGTCACAATCGCTACCAACCACCTGTGGCTATAACTGTATTACCAGTGCATATAAAGAGCCTTCTATCGCTCTTCATACATGCCTTTATACATACATAAAGGCTGTGAATGCATTTATAATGCATCCCCACAACTGCCTTTAAAGTGTTATGTTGATGCCATTCTGTTATATAAGAGTATTTGAAAGTAGTCTCAGAGTGTGATGAGGTTTTCATTACAGCCCTTACTCAGCTAATGATTAGGGTTTCTGGAGGACCTTGCACAAACAGTGGGCATCAGAGACCGGGATTGGGAGATTTCAATTGAATTAGAGTCAAACATGCACATACACAGACACAAACATGAACACAATCACACACCCACAAGATCACACACCCACACAGAGGGAAATAGATGGCGTCAACAGGAAAGGAATTGACCAGGGAAACCTGATGACAATGGATGCTCCAGTCCATAAATAAACCATTGTTGTAATCAGCAGTGTGTCTCATATTCATCTAAAAACAGGCCCCATCTAGTCACAGCAAGGTTGTATTCACTAGAACCAAACGGAAGCAAACAGGCTGACACTGGGAGGGACCTATCTGAATTTGACCTGCCTTACTGAGTCTGCATGTTATGCTGCCCCCCTCTCCCAGGAGTACCCATGACCTTGTGGCCATGGACGGCTGGCTGTACGCAGTGGGCGGCAACGACGGCAGCTCCAGCCTCAACTCCATTGAGAAGTACAACCCGCGCAGCAACAAGTGGGTGGCGGCATCCTGCATGTTCACGCGGCGCAGCAGTGTGGGCGTGGCCATCCTGGAGCTGCTCAACTTCCCGCCGCCCTCGTCGCCCACTCTCTCCGTGTCCTCCACCAGCCTTTGACACGGGGCTAGGCTCCGGCTGACCTCAGCCCCCGCCTCGGTCGCCGCCACCACCACCACTACGACACAGCCAGGCCCAAGCAAGAGACGCAACTGCTCCGTGTGAAGGGGGGGAGGGGGAGGGAGGGGCGCAGTTAAACAGAGAAGAGGTGATGGGAAGAGTGAAGGATGGGGGAGAGAGAAACACTCAGAGGTTGCTGGTGGATCTCGTGCGGTCTCGTTCCCTGAGGTCTCGCTGTAATACCGTAAAGATACCAGCTCCTAGTCTCTTGAATAACACAGGAGAGTTTTCCTCCCTTCATCCCTCTGTCCCTTTGCAATCCAACGCTTGAAACACTGTCTGAAGACGGTCAGTTTGTGTATCATGTGTTCCGTAAATCTCTCTTTTTTTTTTTTTTTTTTTTTTTTTTTTGCAATAATATATATAGATATAGAAATTAATTATTTTAACTAAGGAATGTAGCTGTAGACTGGTTCTGCCATGCATGCTTATCGTGTCCTGGCCGGCAGGAATACAACGGTATAGTGCTGCTGTATGTGTCACACTAGGTGGCAGTAACGGACAATGTTGTTTACCATCCTACCCCACAGATGCGCATGGGGAGGAGGGTGAAGTTACCCCTAGATGCTGATCTTGGGTCAGTTTAGCATTTTCCCCACTAATGGTTAAGGTTAGGATTGGGGAAGGGGACGCTGATCCTAGATCTGTACCTAGGGGAAACATCAGAATAGATCTATTGATACTAGATCTATCGTTTCTCGAAACTGTAAATTAGTTTTAAATCCCTTTTTTTATATAAGAACAGAGACAATTACATTGAATTCTATTTCATATTTATTAAATGTAAAAAAATATATATAGCTAATATATTCAAAGATGCTTTATGAAAAGCAAATGGACCACTGCTACAACTCAAGAGAGACGTATTGTTTTTATTTTGTTGCATTAACTTTGTGCATATCATGGATGGAAGTGAATCAGGGAGAATATCAAAGTGTCCTCTGTAGCTCAATTGGTAGAGCACGGCGCTTGTAACGCCAGGGTAGTGGGTTCGATCCCCGGGACCACCCATACCTAAAAATGTATGCACACATGACTGTAAGTCACTTTGGATAAAAGCGTCTGCTAAATGGCATATTATATCATATTATATTTAAAATGTGAAACTGTTAGTCGTTCAGTTTGTGCTTGAGAGTTGAGTGTATCAGAGTGAAGAGAAGATTGATAAGGATGTCTTAAACTGAAGCCAATATCAGGGCCGTATTCATAAAGCATCTCAGAGTAGTAGTGCTTATTGCTTCAGTCCACGTGACTTCCGTCTCGCTTCCGCATTGTCTCCGTGCTGCTGTGCTGTTTGTTGCTACTTGGCTACCTGCCAAACTATTCACGTTTTACTTTTAATAAACGTTTAATCAATCTCTGTGTTCAACAAATTTACCAACTTTTTAGTTTTGTCCTCACTCATCTTTTTTCGTTAAACTTTTTCACCCCGGACGTTTATCCCGAGACAGAAGAGTCATTTTCTTGTGCGTTTTAGCTGCCAACTTTACGTTATTTTCCTTTTTTCCATCGCAACTTTTTTCCCTTATTCAACTTTTTCACTCCGGACGCTTTATCTGGACATGGTTCATCAACATCTTCAACAGCCGAAGCTAAGTAGTAACATTAACATGATGTCTTCTAATTGCAGTCGCTGTACTCATAATATACAGGAGAATTCTCGCCTTACGGCGAGAATAGCTGTGCTACAAGCCCAGCTTCAGACGCAATCGTTAGGCAAGGGTAATATCAGTGTAGGAAAGGAAGAAACAGCGTCTGTGCCACCAGTAAGTACAGACAGTAACGTTAGTATAAATCCCCCCGCACAGTCCCCGCAGCCGGACAACTTTCTCATGGCTTCTGGAGGGAAATACTGTTGGAATGCTCAACCGGTGTCGCTCATTCAGCCGACAGAAACCTTCAACCGGTTTTCCCCATTATGTAGCGAGTCGGAGTCTGAGTCTTCTCTAGTCTCTACTCCTCCCGTTACGGGGTCTGAGACTCCGAAGGCTCCCACCATTAGCTCTGACAAATTGAAAACCCTAGTCATTGGCGACTCCATTACCCGCAGTATTAGACTTAAAACGAATCACCCAGCGATCATACACTGTTTACCAGGGGGCAGGGCTACCGACGTTAAGGCTAATCTAAAGATGGTGCTGGCTAAAGCTAAAACTGGCGAGTGTAGAGAGTATAGAGATATTGTTATCCACGTCGGCACCAACGATGTTAGGATGAAACAGTCAGAGGTCACCAAGTGCAACATAGCTTCAGCGTGTAAATCAGCTAGAAAGATGTGTCGGCATCGAGTAATTGTCTCTGGCCCCCTCCCAGTTAGGGGAAGTGACGAGCTCTACAGCAGAGTCTCAGCACTTAATCGCTGGTTGAAAACTGTTTTCTGCCCCTCCCAAAAGATAACATTTGTGGATAATTGGCCCTCTTTCTGGGACTCACCCACAAACAGGACCAAGCCTGACCTGCTGAGGAGTGACGGACTCCATCCTAGCTGGAGGGGTGCTCTCCTCTTATCTACCAACATAGATAGGGCTCTAACTCCTCTAGCCCCACAGTGAAATAGGGTGCAGGCCAGGCAGCAGGCTGTTAGCCAACCTGCCAGCTTAGTGGAGTCTGCCAATAGCACAGTCAGTGTAGTCAGCTCAGCCATACCCATTGAGACTGTGTCTGTGCCTCGACCTAGGTTGGGCAAAACTAAACATGGCGGTGTTCACCCTAGCAATCTTATTAGGATAAAGACCTCCTCCATTCCTGCCATTATTGAAAGAGATCACATCACCTCACATCTCAAAATAGGGTTACTTAATGTTAGATCCCTCACTTCAAAGGCAGTCATAGTCAATGAACTAATCACTGATCATAATCTTGATGTGATTGGCCTGACTGAAACATGGCTTAAGCCTGATGAATTTGCTGTGTTAAATGAGGCCTCACCTCCTGGTTACACTAGTGACCATATTCCCTGTGCATCCCGCAAAGGCGGAGGTGTTGCTAACATTTACGATAGCAAATTTCAATTTACAAAAAAAAAAATGGCGTTTTCATCTTTTGAGCTTCTAGTCATGAAATCTATGCAGCCTACTCAATCACTTTTTATAGCTACTGTTTACAGGCCTCCTGGGCCATATACAGCGTTCCTCTCTGAGTTTCCTGAATTCCTATCAGACCTTGTAGTCATAGCAGATCATATTCTAATTTTTGGTGATTTTAATATTCACATGGAGAAGTCCACAGACCCACTCCAAAAGTCTTTCGGAGCCATTATCGACTCAGTGGGTTTTGTCCAACATGTCTCTGGACCTACTCACTGCCACAGTCATACTCTGGACCTAGTTTTGTCCCATGGAATAAATGTTGTAGATCTTAATGTTTTTCCACAAAATCCTGGACTATCGGACCACCATTTTATTACGTTTGCAATCGCAACAAATAATCTGCTCAGACCCCAACCAAGGAGCATCAAAAAGTCGTGCTATAAATTCTCAGACAACACAAAAATTCATTGATGCCCTTCCAGACTCCTTCTGCCTACCCAAGGACGTCAGAGGACAAAAATCAGTTAACCACTTAACTGAGGAACTCAATTTAACCTTGCGCAATACCCTAGATGCAGTTGCACCCCTAAAAACGAAAAACATTTGTCATAAGAAACTAGCTCCCTGGTATACAGAAAATACCCGAGCTTTGAAGCAAGCTTCCAGGAAATTGGAACGGAAATGGCGCCACACCAAACTGGAAGTCTTCCGACTAGCTTGGAAAGACAGTACCGTGCAGTACCGAAGAGCCCTCACTGCTGCTCGATCATCCTACTTTTCCAACTTAATCGAGGAAAAATAAGAACAATCCAAAATTTATTTTTGATACTGTTGCAAAGCTAACTAAAAAGCAGCATTCCCCAAGAGAGGATGGCTTTCACTTCAGCAGTGATAAATTCATGAACTTCTTTGAGGAAAAGATCATGACCATTAGAAGCAAATTACGGACTCCTCTTTGAATCTGCGTATTCCTCCAGGGCTTAGCTGTCCTGGATCTGCACAGCTCTGCGAGGGCCTGGGATCGGGAGAGACACTTAAGTGTTTTAGTACTATATCTCTTGACACAATGATGAAAATAATCATGGCCTCTAAACCTTCAAGCTGCATACTGGATCCTATTCCTACTAAACTGCTGAAGGAGCTGCTTCCTGTGCTTGGCCCTCCTATGTTGAACATAATAAACAGCTCTCTATCCACCGGATGTGTACCAAACTCACTAAAAGTGGCAGTGATAAAGCCTCTCTTGAAAAAGCCAAACCTTGACCCGGAAAATATAAAAAAACTATCGGCCTATATCGAATCTTCCATTCCTCTCAAAAATTTTAGAAAAAGCTGTTGCGCAGCAACTCACTGCCTTTCTGAAGACAAACAATGTATACGAAATGCTTCAGTCTGGTTTTAGACCCCAATCATAGCACTGAGACTGCACTTGTGAAGGTGGTAAATGACCTTTTAATGGCGTCAGACCGAGGCTCTGCATCTGTCCTCGTGCTACTAGACCTTAGTGCTGCCTTTGACACCATCGATCACCACATTCTTTTGGAGAGACTGGAAACCCAAATTGGTCTACACGGACAAGTTCTGGCCTGGTTTAGATCCTACCTGTCGGAAAGATATCAGTTTGTCTCTGTGAATGGTCTGTCCTCCGACAAATCAACTGTACATTTCGGTGTTCCTCAAGGTTCCGTTTTAGGACCACTGTTGTTTTCACTATATATTTTACCTCTTGGGGATGTTATTCGAAAACATAATGTTAACTTTCACTGCTATGCGGATGACACACAGCTTGTTCATTTCAATGAAGCATGGTGAAGCCCCAAAATTGCCCTCGCTAGAAGCCTGTGTTTCAGACATAAGGAAGTGGATGGCTGAAAAACTTTTACTTTTAAACTCGGACAAAACAGAGATGCT